GCTGTAGCATGCATAGTGGCTATACCCCAATAAACTGTCTTGGCAGACAGGCTAAATAGGTTGAGGGTGACCAGGGGGCCTCAAACCCATCGGTGAGTTAAGGGGGTGTCTATGCCATTCATTTGTCTCGCCACTCGGCTTTGATGACTCAGGAAGAGAGAATGAGGCCGATGACTGTGTGCAGCTCTGCCTCACTTAAATCCAATTCACGCGGCAGTCAAGACATCACCCTGGGATGTTATTGTCCCCTTTCAAAAACAAAGGACAAATGGCAAGGGGATTTGAGTTTGTCCGGTCTTTCTGCCGTTGGCTTAAGTCTGCGCCAGTGGTGTTCCCCCTCCCAATCTTAGAGGTCCTGTACACACTTAACAGTTAGCTTAGCTTTTACAAAGGAATATTGACTTCAAAGGTCTACCCCTCTGATACATAGGGGTATAATCCCTCTTCCCCTACCTCCATACCACCTCTATCTCTAGGGAGGGAAGGGGAATTAGGTTTGCAACTTAACTGCATTCCTACGTAACATCACTCCTACCAAATTCCAAGTCCAAAGCCCAAGGCTTCACCTCCTGGAACCCTGGCTTCTCAAGGCTTCCCTGTGAGGCTCTCAGCAACATCTGGTCTGGAATCCTCCTCCAAGACCACCATGGTTGGAGCTCCCATCACCAGGAACTCCACTAGAGGTGCCTAGAATTGAAAAGGACAAGTGAAGCAGACCAAAAACTCCAAACCCATTTCTCAGGCCCTAAGGCCTAAAGGGGAAGGAGGGGAGGTAGTCCTTCCCCCCATCCAGCTTAGTTCATGATGCTCATTTGGGGGATAAACAGGACCTTTACTCTTTGGGTGCTGCTGGAAAGACAGCAAGACTGTCCCAGGCTGGTAGTTTGAAAAATGCGGCCTGTTCCAACTAGGCCGCCAGTGGAAAAGGCTGCCTCCACTCACAAGGTAGGGGAATGCTGAACATCTTCCAGAAACAGATTCTTGGTGTTTCCCACACGAACGACCACCTTAGGGGATATGAGCATGTATGAAAGACATTTTACATATATAAAATGGATTCGGCATTCTGAGAATGCTAGCTTGTTTTACATCTGTTAATCATATTCTATTAATTGCAATGTACATACATAACATTGAGTCCTATGGCTCCACTGAAAAGCACATTAAGAAGCCACTTCTCTAATGATATCAAAACATCATTTGGAATTAAGTTTAAAATTAATGTACGCTGAGGAAAAATAGAACTTGAAGGCTTTGAACTTGAATCAGGAGCCCAAGATGAAATAACAGATGAAGGCAATACTTATAAATAGCTTATTCTTCTCCATGCATGACACATTAATCATAAGGCTATCAAGGAGAAAGCTGTGGTTGTGTTTGTTAAGGGACTGACCAGCATCCTCAAGTCAAAGCCTAATACATTTAGAACAATTAACACACATGTAGGGGCAGCCAGGTGGCACAATGGAAAGAACACTCTGGAATCTGGAGGACCTGAGTTCAAATCTGGCCTCAGACACTTACTAGCTGTATGATCCTGGGTAAGTCACTTAACTCTGAGTAAAATAGAGTTTTGCCTCATAAAACAATAATAGACCTCATAAAATAATGAGGTTCTCATAAATAAATAATAAATAAAATAATGAAGTCTTATAAAAGGCCTCATAAAACAAAACAAAACTCCTGTGCAATACTAGTCTTTCTTTTTTTCTAGGCAATGGGGTCAAGTGACTTGCCCAGGGTCACACAGCTAGTAAGTGTTAAATGTCTGAGGCCAGATTTGAACTCAGGTCCTCTTGACTCCAGAGTCGGTGCTCTATCCACTGTGCCACCTAGCTGCCCCTATGTGTTCTATTTTTAATTATAGTCATTCAGAGCTGATCATCATACAATGCTGCTATTACTGGGTACAACATTCTCCTGGTTCTGCTCACTTCACTCTGCATCAGTTCAAGTAAGTCTTTTATTTTTTTCTTTTTGGTGAGGCAATTGAGGTTAAGTGACTCACCCAGAGTCACACTATTAGTGAGTGTTATATGTCTGAGGCCAGACTTGAACTCAGGTCCTCCTGATTCCAACGCTCCAAGGTTCTATCCTAACTACCCCAAAATACTAGTCTTAACCTATCCTTTTGGTACAGTAAAAGGGTAACAACTGATCTAGGAGTTGTCCCGATGAAACTTGACAATGTTAATAATGTTAATAAAACACAAGGCTCATTTACCCAAGGCAGCTATGGAAGAGATTAATACTTCTCTGTGGAAAAAGAAAAACAGTAAGAGATGTTTTCAGACCACACTATAAACAGGTTAAAGTTTTATAGAAATACATTTGGAGCAAACATACCTCACTCCACAAAGGAAGAACAAAACCTGACAACAGGGAGATACCACTGTGTTTTTTCTAATACAACTAAAAGTATCGTTTTTCTTTAATAAAAAAAGAGATCCAAGAAAGAGTGAAATCAAAGGGTCCTCCACGGAAAATATCCCCTTGAACTCCACTAAAAACATATCAGCAAAGATGTCGACCAAATGGCTGTCGGACCAATTTGTTTTTAGAAATGGAGAGATTTATATTGATTCAAGATCAGGTCATTGCCACTCAAAATTGCAGAAAGTTTGTCTTGTTGATTGATATGGATTATGCAATGAAGTTGCCCACCTGTGTAACTTAACACTGCAAATAACATAGTGTCCACTTGATGGGATGGCCAGAAACTCACTATCCTTCCTAAACTAACAAACACCAAATTACCTTATTGCAGATACAAACCCGCAGTATATCCTTGAGAATTTAGCAGATAAACTCTACCTGAGCCAGCACATTATAACAAATAGAACTATTGCCCACAACTGCCCAAACATAACATTGATTCATAAAAATTTAAGAATAGTTTTTTTAATAGATGTCACTATACTGAAAATTCAAACTATGTAGAATGACAAATATTATAGATATAGAGACCTAATCAAAGAAATTACAGCCGTATGGGAACAAGACAGAGTATGTGTTATTCTTATCTCCTTGTCTTCTGCTGGAGTTACCCCCAAATATTTTTGGTGAGACTACGGCGGATGAAATTAATCATGATACTCTATTCAATTATAAAAGTCTCCTCTGCTTCAAAAGTCCACGGGACATTAAATATTGAAGAAAAGTAGCAGGCTAGTGGATTGCCTTTGGACCATCTCTTTCCTTACATGCATAACCTTATTTGAGCTTCACGGTAACCCTGGGAAGCAAGTAAGAAAATTATTCTCCACCATCTTTTAGGCGAGAAAAAAGGTTCATAGGAATCAAGCGATACGGTGGATGTGTCAGACGTGAGATGCCACGCTGACTAGCATCTTTACCAAGATCTCCCAGGTTTTCTCCAGATCTTACCTTCCCTGTTCCAAGGTCTCTCTTCCAGTCCTGATTCTAATCCAGGATCTCTTCCACTCTAGAGTTAAAGGACCCAGATTCAAGTCCTGTCTGACATTGAATACTTGTGTGTCTTTGGACAAGTCACATAAGATTTCTAGACCTTACCTTCCTCCCCTGTAAAGTAAGGAAGCAGAGCCTCCAAGGTCCCTTTCACTCTGGATCTAGGATCCACTTATATTTATTCCCAAGTTTTCAAATGGCAAAGCAGTATCCCTGGGACTCTCTTGGGTCCATGTTTTCAGAACCTTCGTACCCATCTTTCTCCTATACGTGGTTGGTTGTGGTCCCTGGTTCTCGAAGAGGACCAAAGTGACATCACCATGCCAGAGTCAAGTTACGGTGTGTCTGACTGCAGCTGATCAGATCAATACAAGCTCGGAGTGTTCTACCATGGGCTGGGCACAAATAGTCCACCTATACTATGTAACTGCAAACCTTCCCTTCTCCTTGTCTTGCCCTTAGTAAACCTCTTCCTCATGGTTTCTTCCTCTTTTCTGGGGAACGTTTCATTTATGTTTTAATACAGGTGACCAGAGGCATCGTCTCAAAGCCTGTCTTAACCTTCCATAGCTTCCCTCCTCCACCCCGGACATTCCACAGGAGAACGTTCCAACTCCATAGACTACCAATAAAGATTCTTCATGACTAGCCCCCAATATGCCTTTCCAGCTCCCTGCTCTGCTATGTGCATTATATGTCTTACCTCTACTCCTTTGCTCACAGTTCCCTCTGCCTGGAATGTCTTTCTTCTCATGCTGGGAAATACCAGAATGACAGAGTATTGCCAACCTTCCCTTTCCTCCCTACTCTCCTGATTCCTATCACAGGTAAAAAGAGCTTAGCCTAACCCAAGCCCCTGTATACTGGCCTTCAGGGCTCAGATGACTCTTTGCCTTTGGCACTCTGCTTCCTCTAATGCCCCAGGCCTCCAGAATTTGACTAATCTATTCCTTTTTTTTTCTCCAGTTTCTAGCTGGGCCCTTCATATATATATATATATATATATATATACATACACACACACACACACACACACATATATGTGTGTATATATATATACACACACACATATATATATGTGTGTATATATATATATATTATATATATATATGGCACATAGTAGGTGCTCAATAAAATTCTTCTTGATGGAATTCTACCCTAGAAGCCAAAATGCCTGAGTCCTGTTCTTCATTCTGTCCCTGACTCATTCTGTCCTTGGGCAAGTACCTTCTCTGCGAGTCTCGGTTTCCCCCTCTGTTGTTGAGGAGGTAGGACTAGCTTGTGTGTAGGATGCCTTCCGCTCTGATGCTCTGTGGCTGTGCGTGAGCTCAGCTTCCTCTCAGACATGCTCCCCCACCCCCTGCAGACTTTCTGTAAGTCAAAGCTTTTAGGCAGGAAACCAAGTATCTGTAAGGGGGAAGGGGGAGTCCAGCCAGAGGCTAAAGCAAAAGAGCCCATGGGGTTGGGGGGTTTTCTTCTCACTCAGTGAGAAGGGATCCACGGAGTTTTCCCAGCTGCCTTCTCTCCTTCGGGGAACCTTCAGCCAGGTAGGTGCCCCAGGCCTGCCCTGTGGTATGGTAGAGGCAGGCTTGGGTTAGGGCCCCATGATGGGGATGGGAGGAGATGTAGTGTGTAGCTAGGAGCAGGAAGACCCTGAAACCAAAAGCAAAAGTCATTGAGGTGGTAGTGGCCATTCCTCAGCCTCGTGACTGGAGACTCCAAACCAAAAGAGATTGTAGAGGTCATGGAGTGCATGTCCTCTCATTTTAAGGATGCAGAAAATGAGGTCTGAGAGGTGAAGTGATTCGCTTGGCCCAGATCCACTTTCTCCTCGCTCCAGGTCTGGCCCTCTCCCCACTCTCTACTATCCACATGGCCTCAGCTTTACCTCTAGTTTCAGGAAAGGGGGAACTCCTCACTCAACCTTTCATCCGATTCTCCTCCCTCTGCCTCATCCCCGGCTAGGTTGTGAGGTTCATGGGAACGGGGATCGTGGAACCTAGCTAACCTGGCTTCTTGGCAGCCCCAGCAGAGAACAGCGTGTGGAGCAGACACTCATATCGTGGGCTCCCTTCACCTGTCCAAGGCCAGGCCGTCTGGAGCATGCTCTGTCTTGTCTGCGGCGAGAAGGTGAGCAGAGCTGGTCCCCTTCAGTACGTGGGCGGGAGACCACCTGTGATATCGGGCGTAGGAGGCTTTGCCCTTGCAGCTTAAATGATTTCAAATAGCTTACATTGCCTTCCTTGGCCTTCATTTCCTTCTCTGTAAAATGAAGGGATAGGGCTAGACCTCTAAGCCTCCGTATAGCTCAGTCTGTGATGTTCAGGCTTCTTAGCTCCTACTCTATTTACTTCCTACTCCCCAAACTCCCTCATCTTTCTCCTCCTCCTCCCTGCCCCCATCCTGTACTGGCTTGCTTCTTATGACCCCCACTGCTTCTCTGTATTCCTCTCATCTCTTTGGTCAGCCTGAAACCTGATGTGGTTGAGTCCAGATCATGGAGGCTTTGACTGCCAAACCCAGGGGCTTAGACTTTGTCTGGTGGGGGCTGTGATGGAAGATGTCTGAATGAGCGGGGATCTGATCCCAGGCACAGACTTGACAGACCCAGAGGTGTAGATGCAGTGTTCCTGGGACAGTGGGTGATTGCTGCATAGACAGGAGTGGGCACTGAGAGTGGCTGTCTATGTTCTGGTTTGTTGTTAAATTCTTGCTTGCTGCCCAAGTCATCTCCCTGGGATGCCCTCTCCCTGGCCCTATTTCTCCTCCTGGTATGCATTTTTGAGGAGGACAGGGGCCACCCTTGGCTCAAAGGAGTAGGGAAACCTAGAACCCTAGGCTCTGTTGGCAACACAAAGACTAGTCCTGTGGCTGAAAACCCGGGGGGAGGGCCTTGGTGAGAGGGAAGAGCTGTCGGCCCACTTCTCCTCGGGATTCCTACCCACTGGGCATCATTGCCTCCCTGGCCTTGGCCAGGACAGAGGGTGCCACCATTTCCTGTTCTCTCTTCTCCCAGGCTTGAGGCTGTCATGGCGCCTCTGGGGGAGGACACCCCCCTGATTGAACAGCGGTCCTACAGCCTGTCCTCCAGTGAGGCCGGCTCCCTGCAAGTGCTCCTGTGTCCCCGAAACCCAGGGTCCCCACAAGTCCTCACCTTCTCCTTCGGGGAGTACTCTGCTGAACAGCTCTGCGTACAGGCTGCCAAGGCCTGTGGTGAGCACAGGGGGAACAATCATGGTTGGAGGGCTACTGATTCCAAGCTTGGAACAGGAGCAGATTTATGAAAACTATGATCCCCTCATTGAGCCCTCACTTCTCTCCTCACACCCCATCCCCTCCCTGGGCCCCACTGAGCTCCCTGCCCATTCCTTGGGCAGTATCCCTGTCCCATCACTCATACTGTCCATCTCTCCCTGCCCAGTCCCGGGTCCCTCTAAGATCACTGTGAGCTAGATAGAAGTCTCCCCTCCCTCTCCCCAGCCTCCAGCCTGAGTGGCCCGGCCCTCTGCCTCTTACAGGGATCTTGCCTGTGTACCATGCTCTCTTTGCCCTGGCCACTGAAGACCTGTCCTGCTGGTTCCCACCCAACCACGTCTTCACGGTGGAAGATTCTACCATCCAAATTCTCCTTTACAGGATCCGGTACGGGGTTGGGCTTCGGTGGGGACTGAACAAGGAAAGGGAAGGGAAGCAGTGAGGGGAGGGGCTGAGGTTTCCTCCAGATGTTATCTGCACAGATGCCTCCATCACACAAGCCTGCCCCTAGTGCTTGCTTGTCATCTAGGCCAAAACATCACTACCTTAAATCATAAGAGGCACACTCTTGAGTTGGGGGAGGGGGGTTCAGTCAGAACATAGACTATCAGAGCTGGGAGGGCCCTTAGAACACAGAATATCAATGTTAGGAGGGTCCTTAGAACACAGACTGTCAGAGCTAGGAGGGCCCTTAGAACACAGAATATCAATGTTAGGAAGGTCCTTAGAACACAGAATATCAATGTTAGGAGGGCCCTTAGAACCAGAATGTCAGAGCTGGAAGAGCTCTTAGAACACAGGATATCAGAGTTGGGAGGGCCCTTAGAACATATAGTGTCAGGGCTGGGAGGGCCCTGAGAACACAGACTATCAGTGTTGGGAGGGCCCTGAGAACACAAGATGTCAGAGTTAGAAGGGTCCTTAGGGCACAGAGTGTCAAAGTTGGGAGGACCCTTAGAACCCAGAATGTCAGAGCTGGGAGAGCTCTTAGAACACAGGATGTCAGAATTAGAAGAGTCCTTAGGGCACAGAATGTCAGAGTTGGGAGGGCCCTTAGAACACAGAATGTCAGAGTTGGGAGGGCCCTTAGAACACAGGATGTCAGAATTAGAAGAGTCCTTAGGGCACAGAATGTCAGAGTTGGGAGGGCCCTTAGAACACAGAATGTCAGAGTTGGGAGGGCCCTCAGAACACAGGGCTGGGAGGAACTTTAGGACATGAAACAGAGTGTCCTACAACTCTAGATAAGTCCTTTAAACATGGAATTCCTGACTTGGAAGGAGCCTTGGACACAGAATTTCCAAACTGGAAAGTCCTTTAGGGACCATTAAGTCCAATTCCCTCATTTTATAGGTGAGGAAGTGGAGGCCCAGGGTGGAGAGGAGACTTGCCCAAGGTCATGTCGTCTCAGCAGAGCTGAGCGTCTCAACTCCCAGCACAGGGGAGCACCAGGAATGGTGTTTCAGGAGAGACCCGGACATCTGTTCCTTCTCTAGCCCCCAATAAAGGGGCGGTTCCTCTTCTCCCCCCTGAGGTAGGGGCTCAGGGGCTCTGCAGGAGGAGAGAGGAAAGACCGAATGACCACTGCTGGCCCCGTCAGCATCAACAGGCCAGGCCGAACAGGACTCCGTCCCTCCGCTCCCTGCCTGTGACTCAGGATTTGTCTTCCTCTTCCACCAGATTTGTCTTTCCAAACTGGCTCGGCCTGGAGAAGTGTTACCGCTTTGGGCTGCAGAAGGACCGAGCCAACGCCATCCTGGACTTCCCGGTTCTCGAGTACCTCTTTGCTCAGGTCAGTTCCTCCTCCCTAGCCCTTCTCCCCTACGAGTCAGGAGAAGCCTCCATCGCTCATGACACATCAGTGACCCTCCCCGGGGCCCTCCCCAGAACCAAAGGTCTCTAAAGGCATTTCTTAGCAAGGCAAAAGCATTGCGACGAGCCATTCACGCCTTCCCCACATCTCCTCGTGGGCCTGGGCACCACATTATGGGATAGCTCAGTCTGGGGCCAAGATCAAGGCTCAACCTTCATTAGAGATGTAACACTCGTACGCATGGATTGACTTGTTAGTTCTGCTAAGATATGACTGACTACTTTAAAAGGAGCTCATCCATCCGTGAGAAACTCATCAAAGAAAAAATAAAATAGAGTAGCTTGAACGGTAACTATGATTACTCTAGAATCCAATTAGGTAGAGGCGGGGTGGGAAACAGAGGCCCAGCGGTTGCTGTGGGGGAGTGGTTGCCCTGATCTCAAGGGGAATGTGTGTCCCCAAGCCTAGCAGGCAGCCTGCTGAGTCGGACATGGTCACATCAGCATAGAGAGAGGTGGCGGTGAGGGTAGGGGGAGCAGGAGATGGAGCAGGACCTAGAACCCTAAGGCACTTGGTAGATCTGGGAGGTGGTAATGGTAATCTGGATGATCAGATCGTAGGAAAGAAGCTACTCTACCATATATCAGTATCCGAATGAATTTCTGATGCGAATACAATTAAGCCATTCAGTTTTTCCTTCTGTAAAATGGGTGTCATTATACTTGGACCACCGACTTCATGAGTTTATTATAAGGAAGTGCTTCGCAAGTATTAGGAAATGTGAGTAACTGTCATCATCATCGTCATCTACAGCAAAGCTAAGTGGCCACTTCAGATCCTAGTCAGGATCTCAGGGCTCCCAGACCCTGACCCCCATTTTTCTTCTCAGCCTAGCATGTAGGGGAGAAGGGGTTTGTCCGCAGCACGGTCAAGAGAGAAGAGGGGACTGGTACAGCCTTGGAGGCCAACGTGCCTCAGGCCGTTGCTGCCCCAGTGCCCTGGACAGCGGTGTGGTTGTTACAGATGGGTCACAGGGTAATGAAAAGCTGAAAATAAAAATGAGGAAGCTGAGATCTTAGAGGTCATAGGATCTGAGGTTTAGAGCTGAAAGGGACCCCAGGGGGCCATCCCGTCCAACCTCCTCATTTTACAGATGAGGAAATAGTGACCTGGGCATGGGAAGTAATTTGCCAAGGTCATATAGGGAGTAAATGACTCAATGGTGTGTGTGTGTGTGTGTGTGTGTGTGTGTGTGTGTGTGTGTGAAGCCAGGCCCCCTAACTCTAAACCCAGAGTTCTATCTGGAGGGAGAGTTCATGAGGACATTGTTCCGGATGGCTCCTGCCTCATTCCCCTGTGGAGAGTAAAAGGGCTTTTTCCCACAGAACCGAAGCGACTTCATCAGTGGGAGGATGAATCTGATGCTGAGCCTTAAGGAACAGGGAGAGTGCCTGAGCCTGGCAGTGCTGGACCTGACTCGAATGGCACAGGAGCAGGGCCTGTGCCCCAAGGAGATCCTCAGGAGCATCAGGTGAGGACTCCCTCCCTCTCTCCCTCCCTCCCAGCCCAGGGAAGGCTGGGAGATGGATAGGCTGAGCTACCTGCTCCAGGCATCAGTCCACACCTCCTTCAAGAGTCCACTAGCCTCTCCCCCCTGCCTCCTGCCCACTGTCCCCACCTCCTCCCCAGAAAGCTTAATCAGGGCTGGAATAGGCCCCAGAAAAGGAGATAGAAGGAAGACGAGATACAGATCCCCAGAGACTGAGGTGGGAGATGGAGTGTCACGTGCGAGGAATAGCAAGGAGCCCAGTGTAGTGTAGTTGGATTGTAGACTATGTGGAGGACAGTCAAGTATAAGGTAGAAAGGGACCAAGTTATGAAGGAGCTTTATAAAGGAGGACTTTTAAAAAAAATCTTAGTGGTAATACAGAGACACCGGACCTTATTGAGTGGGAGGGGGAGTAACACGGACAGTAACCTGTGCTTTAGAAAATCCCCTTATGGGGGGCAGCTAGGTGGCGCAGTGGATAGAGCACCGGCCCTGAAGACAGGAGGACCTGAGTTCAAATCCAGCCTCAGACCAAACACCTGACACTTACTAGCTGTGTGACCTTGGGCAAGTCACTTAACCCCAAATGCCTAAAAACAAAACAAAACAAAAGAAGAAAGAAAAAAAAAGAGAGAAATCCTCTTAGCTGCTGAGCAGCAGATGGACTTCAGTGGGGAGAGATTTGAGGCAAGGAGACCCACCAGCAGGCTAGTGCAGCAGTCCAGGCAAAAGCGGATGAGAGCGTAGACCAGGGCTATGTAAGGTGGAGAAAAAAGTTTGTAAAGAAATGACAGGAAGGTGGAAATGACACGATTTGGACTTGCAAGGTGAGTGAGAATGAGGAGGTGAAGGTGACAAGATTGTACTGTATGAGGCCAAGTTCTCAGCTAGGACGGTGAAAGGCGGGGTACCCTGGGAGGACCGAGGAGAGGCAAGAACGTTTGAAGTCAATTAGGTAGGAATTGAATACTTGCCTTGCAGTGGTGAGAGCCTGATTGAGATTAGATGAACACAAATTTACAGCAGACACAGTGGGTATAGTTTCATGATTTTCTCCTCTGTTCTAGGGCACGGGAGGCAGATGGTGGCAGTAATCCAGGGCTGGGGCTGACAAAACATGATCAATGATAGAACAAGGGACAAAGGATGAGAGCAAGCATTCTTAACCTTTTGACCCCCTTGGCAATTTGGTGAAGCCCATAATCTCTTTTTCAGAAAAATGTTTTTTAAATGCATAAAATAAAATTTTTTACATAGTATAATATAATATACAATATTACATTACAAAGGAAAACAATTATATCAAAATATAACTATCAAAAAAATTTTTTTTAAAAACCATCAAGTTCAGGACCCCAGATTAAGAGTACCTAGTAGAGAGGATAGTATAGAGTTTAACTGGCTTACCAAGGGGTAGAGATGGGAAAGTTGGCGGGGGAGTTTAGCTAGGGCAGGGTGATGGCCTAGAAAAGAATTGACCTGTGGAACACATGGAGGTCATGGTGAGGACAAAGGACAGGTTTAGGGGTCATAAGGCAGAAGAAAAATATGGAGTAATAAAAGATTATGGTCAGATAACAGAATTTGGTAGTTTGTGAACCAAGAAGGGGAATCCTCATAGACGATGGCAAGGTCAAAGGCATTTCTGTAACTGAAGTGGAGTAGTCACAGGAATGGAATAGATTGAGAAATTGGGAAATCAAGGTATTGACAAGAGCATTGATATCCATGTTGAAGTCCCAAAGTATGAGGGCAAGAAATGGGGAGGAAAGAAAGATTATGAGGCTGGCCCTGAACTCATGGAGAAAGGAAAAGAATGTGCTCTAATCCAATTAGGGTTTACTCTGATCATCCCCTAACCCACTACATAAAAGTCATGGAAAAAAACAAACCGCCAGCATGTGAAATAAGGTTGCTGTAGCTGTTCAGTTGTGTCAGATTCTTTGTGACCCTGTGGACCATACAATCCAAGGGGTTTTCTTGGCAATGATACCAGAGTGGTTTACCATTTCCTTCTCTAGTGGCTTAAAGTAAAGAGAAGTTAAGTGACTTGCCCAGGGTCACACAGCTGGATTTGAATTTAGGAAGATGAGTCATCCTGATTCCAGGCCCAGCGCTCTGCACGCTACGGCACCGTCTAACTGCCTCATGAAATAAGAAGCTGGGGACTAGAGAAGAACTCATATAAACCTGAGATTAACCCAGGGAAACCTTCAAGGCAGGAATCTAGTCTGGTAAATGATCATAGGTCTAAAGTTGAAAGGGCCCTCAAACACTGTCAAAGCAAGATGAGGCATCTCAGGCCCAGAGAGGTCAAGTCATTTGCCCAAAGTCACACAGACAGTATATATCAGAGGTGGTATTTGAACCCAGGACCACCAACTCCAGAGCCCTGGAACATTCTACTACACCACATTGCCTCCCCATAGGGGGGTAGAGACCACACTTTTATTTTAAGATATAGGAGTCCTAGAATTTTGGAGGGAGGGTGGACTTCTCATTGTCTCCGTGTATGGCTCTGTGTGTCTGTGTGCGTAGTGACTGCTGGGCTGGGTGAGTAGGGGGGATTATAGTTCCCTTTTACCGTATCCCTCTCTTATATGAGCAGTATCAGTCATTCCCAGACACTTCTCTTGTTCTTTCTTTTGCCTGGGATTTCCTCTTTACTCACTCTCTAAATCCCGCCCTCTGGAGGAATGGCTTTCCTTTCAAACCCGATACAGGAAGAAAATGGAAAGGAAGAATGACCAAGACAGAGCCCCTCATACCGGTTCCAGCTGGTAAAATGTCTTGACCATTTGTCTAGAAATGTACAGGTCCACATTTTTTTGTCTCTGCTCTGGGAAATTATGAAAACGAGTCACCCATTCTCTTTTGTTCAGCTCAAGCTCTCAGCCAGAGAGAAATCTTTCCAGGAAATGTATATTGATGTTTAAAACCAAACAAACAAACAAAATCCTCTATTTCTCTCTTCCAGGCTTTCCCTCTGTTGTCTGTCTCAGCCAAGTTTGTGCAAGGACACATACAGATCAGAGATGCAATGGCTAACTCCCCTTGTCTTAGAAAACAGGTTTTAAGACAAAAAAGAAACAGAAAGCAAGGTCTTAAGAATGGGGATGGGAGAGAAAAGGCACACTCTCTCGGGAAGGGGGCAGGGAGGAGGATTATGAGGAATCACCACCTTTGACATCAGCAATTCAAAGGCCTCAGCAAACTCCAGGTCGGCTCCACGATGGTGACTCACGGCCCTACAGCCCAGCATGGCTGGAGTTCTCCACAGTCTCTGGTGGGGTGTGTGTGAGTGTGTGGATGCAGCTGTTCCCCAGCACAGTTGCTGGGGCGGGCTGGGGTTTCACTTCCTTTGGCGATTCTGGGCTTCAGGGTGAGGGCTTACTCAGCTCAGTTACTTCAATTGCAGGTCATGACATCAGCCCCTCTGCCTCCTGCCTGGTGCCTCATGAGCCAACTATGCACATCCTCTCCTCCTCCCTCAGAAATTGGAGATGATAGATTATCAGTCCTTGGGGACAATAGTCTTAGAGTCAGAACATTTCCCCAGTGAGGGGAGGTTAGGAAAGCTGTGGATTTTCCATACCCCAACAGGCATCAGCCCCCTGCCCCCATTAACTGGTGGAGAACCTTTTATAAATATTCAATTTAGGATCATAGATTCAGAGCTGAAAGGAACCTTGGGGGGCATCTTGTCCACCCCTCCTCCCCATTTTACAGATGAGGAAACTGAGTTACATGTACTTCTAGGTGCTCAACAGTATGATGTGTGTCCGTGTGCACACATGCACACATGTGCAAAAGTTCCAGCCCTGGATCTGAGGTCATACAGATTTCCAGACACAAGGTCCTCCTTAAGGATTATCTTTGAGATTTTTTCCTTTGATCCCAAGGGCCCAGGTCTTTTACCTTCCCAATTTTCTAAATCTTCTCTGATCCTTAAACCCCAGTTGGAGGCACCTAAACATCTTCTCCCTGACTCTTGCACCTGTTCAGTTCTCTAGGTTCAGTCCAGAGTCTACTTTTCTTTTCTCTTCTTTTCTTTTCTTTTTCTTTTCCTTTTTTTTTTTTGGCTAGGCAATGGGGTTAAGTGACTTGCCCAGGGTCACACAGCTAGTGAGTGTTATGTGTCTTAGGCCAGATTTGAACTCAGGTCCTCCTGAATCCAGGGCCGGTGCTCTATCCACTGCCTAGCTGCCCCCTTGAGTTTACTTTTCTTACCTTAGACTGCTACCACCATAACTGGGTGTTCGGTTATGTGGTCCGTTATTACAATCATTATTTTTTCTACTTAATAATGTTTTATTTTTTCCAATTACATGCAAAGATAGTTTTCAACATTTACTTTTATAAGATTTTGAGTTCCAAATTTTTTTTCTCCCTTCTTCCTCTCTCCCCTCCCCAAGACAGCATACAATCTCATATAGGCTATACATGTACAATTCTATTAGATATATTTCCACATTAGTCATGTTGTGAAGGAAGAATCAGAACAAAAGGGAAAAACCACGAAAAAGAAAAAAAAAGAGCAAATAGTATGCTTCTATCTGCATTCAGACTCCATTGTTCTTTCTCTGGATGTGGATAGCATTTTCCATCATGAGTCTTTTGGAATTGTCTTAGATCATTGCATTGCTGGAAAGAGTTAAGTCTAACAAAGTCGGTCATCGCACAATGTTGCTGTTACCGTGTGCAATGTTCTCTTGGCTCTGCTCACTTCACTCAGCATCAGTTCATGTAAGTCTTTCCAGATTTTTCTGAAATCCACCTGCTCATCATTTCACATTCATATACCATATTATTCTCATTATTGCTGTCCATTCCTTCTCTGCCTTACCTTATCTGAGCTATCTTGGTGTTTAGTTAGAGTCTTTATTTTTAAAGGGTAAGAGAAATTCAGTCCAGAAATAAGGCACCAGAGGAAGGGACTTTAGAGGCACAAGTAAAAGATTTCTACCAAGGATTATTGGGGG